CCGTCATTATAACTGCTCACGTTTATTGACAACGAACAACAACTCAATATCCTAAGGCAACGAACTATGCCTTCCTAGCGCCCAAGATACCATGCGACCCAGGAATCCTCTAAAGAGAACATCCGATCACATAGTACTCGCAGCGCACTTTGCTTTGCTCTCCTAACTCTCCGCAGAACACACCAATACAACACCAACAACTTGCCAACGAACCAAACTCAGCCTCTGTAGGGGATATCATGAATGCTAATAGCAGACCCATTGTACCCCAAGAGCACTAACTCTTGCTACCAACCATCCTTGTAATCAACAGACTTCCCTGTCGCACAGGTGAAGTATCCATGATCACAAGCCCAATTGTCCTCTTTTCAAACCCAATAGAGACGCAATGCCATTTGCGACGCGACGCGGAATAAACACTTCTTCCCAGCGCTGCTCTAATAAAGCAGCACTGCGAAGAATCCTTACGTCACCTAGCTCACGCCTCACCTGGCCAAATGCGCCAACCAACTTCCCTCACACGACAGTACCTCAAGAGCACCTTGACCCCTCACGCCTCGAATGATGCCATCACCTGCATCGAAACCTACCACCCCTAGCATTCCCACGCCTAAGTCCTACGCGTGCTCCTATGCAGCACCCCAATAGAGACGCAACGCCATTTGCGACGCGACGCGACATAAACACTTCTGCGCAGCGCTGCTCTAATAAAGCAGCACTGCGAAGAATGCTTATGTAACCTAGCTCACGCCTCGCCTGGCCCAATGCGCCAAACAACTTCCCTCACACGACAGTACCTCAAGAGCACCTTGACCCCTCACGCCTCGAATGATGCGCTCACTAGTGACGAAACCTACCACCCCTAGCATTCCCACGCCTAAGTCCTACGCGTGCTCCTATGCAGCACAACCTTACATTGTCCTTACTTTCGCCTTCACAGACAAAAAGCGATGGATCCTCCTCTTCTCCTGCTTCTGATGCCTTCAATTTGCCTTAATTGGGTCTGTAAACACACACGACAGCAAATAAATTAAATAAGCAACAGCATTAGCAACAAGGGATTATGTGTAATGCTGGGACGGCGTCACAATCTTGTACAAATGTGCCATCAGACCACCGGACGAGCACAGCGTACCACTTACGTGGTTGCAGCCATGGATAACGAAGTATGCTTCGTTGATATTATTCATACAAAGTATATTTATTCACAAAATTAAATTTAAGAAGGAAGGGACGAACTAATGACAACTGCATACACATGCAGCACAGCACAGCGACTTGACCACCATGGAAAAACGCGCTCAAGAAGTAGAGAGAAGCCAACAATGATCCCCGCTGCTGCTTTAGAAGAGATATGTTCAACGAAAGGCATTATAAAAAAAGTAGCTTGTAACGCTGCAAAAGCAAAGCGTACTTTGTGGCATTTGCTGCAGATAAACTTGGCAGCAACAACTCCTGCAGCTGCTGGGGCTGATAATGGTCGAGTCATTTGCTTCACTGGATCTTCTATAGTCCTGCATTTAGACATACAGGCATACGTTGGTAAACAGTGCAAGCTTGTTGGTAAACAGTGCGAGCCTGTAAGTCTTGCTCTCTTAACCGCCTGTTGTATGCTTTGTTCTGGATGTGTACAGAGACTCCTGATTGAAGCTGCATAGATCGTCCTCAATACAAAGGCACACAAGACACCAAGTAGATCTAGGCTCGAGCTCGCATCACAGATGTAACGCTGCTCAACTCTTAGTGCGACGAGCCTCTCTCTATGTGAGTCAAGCCACCGTTAGGAGTCATGAAACTGCTGCTATACGCGGAAATAGGTTGCTTCCTCACTAGACGCCTGACCACCACGCAAGGCAAGGGCAGCTATTTACGCACAGCTTGAGGTAACAACTAGTGTATTGAATAGCCTTCTTCGTTTACTCCTAATGAATGTATTTTAGGCAAACGTGTTACGTCGGACTGTTCTTTGTGCTCCGCTCGATGCGGGCAGCAGACACCGGCTGATGTAACAAGACCAAGCAAAACAGAAGAGCTATGGGGGTCACACCACCAAGTAAGAGTCCCTAGTAAGAGTAAGAGTCTCGGTTGTCCTTGAACTCAAGAAGCTGTTCTTCTTTTTTGTCTTGTATGATCAGTGCGGGTGTGCATGCATGTGCATACGTGTGCATGTACCAGTTCGAAGCAAATAGGAATAACTTCAGATGCGGCCTGTCTATCCAGAGGATATTTTCTCCTGTAGCCTCTGTCTCCAAGATGAATATTATATTAATTATCAATGCGGTCGTGCATGCATGCACGACCGTATTGAGGTAAACAGGAGGTAACCAACTTTATGCAGCCTATCTTCCTATCTAGCTCATTCAGTTATGTTGCTATAAACACTTTGGATGGATACAGGAACAGCTTTCTTTAGGTAGCAGCCGTCATAAGCAGCCACCTTTTACAGAAACTTTTGTATTCCTTAATACAGACGCCTCTATTTGTTACTTGTTGCTTTTTTCTTCCGTTAAGGATATCTATATACCTAAAAAAAGAATAAATAAACAAATAAATAAATAAATACAATAAATAAATATATACTGCTTCTTGCCAATCAAAAGGATCTGTTCTTTTATGTAAATAACCACCAATCAAAAGGATCTGTTCTTTTATGTAAGCAATCAGGAGGAAAAGAAATATCTAGATAATAATCTAGTTCTCTATTTGCCTCCACCACTAAATAAATGCAAAATAAATAAATAGAAATAAATAAGACGAAGAATAAAAGAATAAAATAAATCTTTTTGTTTATTTTTAGTTACTTATAAAGGAAGAAAAAGAAAGAATATATTGGTAGCCGTAACACTTCTGATGGCGAAGAGAAAGGAAGGAAATAAAAAGAAGAAAAAGAAAAAATGATTATTTTAATGATATAAACAAACTAATAGTAACAATAGAAAGAATTTAGTTTACGAAGAAAAGAATATAAGAAAATAAATTAGCAAGAAAATAAAATGAACATAATTTATGAAAAGGAGAATGTTAAGTTTCTTTTATATTCTGGTGTACGTACACCGCAAAGTAACCACTAATTCTTCCTAATGGAGAAAATAAGTTGTTCTTTTTAGGAAAGTAACAGCTAAATAAATAAACAAGGACTTAGATACGTTTTCCTCTTGTTTGTTTATTTAGTTATTTATTTCCCTTCCTTTTAGTCTTTTTCCTTCTTCGTAGCCAACAAAAATAAGTTAGTTTATATTATTATTAAATTAACTTTAGTTTTATTTTATTTTATTTTATTTTTTTATTTATTGGTGTATAATGATCTATAAAATAATAAAGTTTATTCATATAACAACAAGAAAATAAGAACTTCTTTTGTCTTTCTTACTCCGTATACAGTTAGTGCATGCAGCCGGGCGGAATAAATGTTCTGCTTTTTTTATTGTAAAACAGACGGAAACTGCAACTGCACTGCCCCTTCTACCTTCTACCATTTTAGCAATTAAATTTGTTCTTTTTTGAGTATCCCTTTTGAGCTACCACTAGCATTCAACTGTACCCGCCTATAGCCTATTCGCTAACTGGTACAGCTAGTTGCTGCCCCTCCTGTGGCAGGCATCCCATGCTGTACACTCTTGTACCCTACTGCTGCCATCAATTTGTATCCACCAGTACCGCTTGTACCCAATAGAGGGAGGGCCCTTTACTGCCGAACTGTTAGCGGCCACCAATTGGCGACCCTCACAGACAAGCTACACGGTTCCTCATTATCTGTCTATAGAATAGACAGCTAATAGTGTGTACATTGTGTGTATATATATAGTACATAGAGAATATATACAAACAGTATCCGTCAAAGTATTAGAAGTATAAATATACAAATGTATATGCATGCATATGCGGTAGATATAATGCCATAGGTGTAACAAAAGTGCAAAAAAACCGCATAATCGGCATATGACGATTTTCTTTAAAATAATGTTTATATATATATATATATATATATA